AAAATAAATTATTGTTATGTAGATTTTGTAGCTGATTAAATCTGAAAAGTAAAATAAACAGTTAAAATCTTCATTAAAATAATTTTTTTGTGTGTTTTATGTGAATATAATATACATTCGCTGTGTTTTATGTTTCTTTAGTCGACACACAATCAAATAATCACCTCTTGTGTCCGAGCTCCCGTACCTTATGTTTTTAACGATGCGTGTTGCACTTTATTATTATTATTACCAACACGTTGTCCTGTTCAACTGGAATTTATTTTATATTTCGTTTTATTGTTTTTAATTAAGGTTAGTTTCACTTTTTATTAATTATAACGTTATTTATGTTATTTATGGGTTATTTGTGTTGACAAATCTGACATAAAGACATTACACAACATTCGAATAGTCGTGTTTTCAGTTTTACAAACGAAACAAAAAAATAAACATTTAAGTTTATTTCAGCGTCTAAAACAACCTGTACAGTTGTGTGTTGTACAGTGATAATAAAGTCTTGTTGTGCTACAGTGTAATAAGTTGTTTATACAGTCCTTAATGGAATTTGTGTTTCCTACAGTTGATGAATAAAAGTGTGTTTGCCGTACAGTTAATAAAGTTGTGTTTGTATAGATTGATTGATGGGTGAATGTGATGATATTATTGGTTGAAATCAGTTAGTTCATGATGACGTAAACATGCGTCACATTTAGTTTTACAGGAAGTCACAATTGATTGATTGATTTTAATTAAAAATATAAAGAAACTGAGTTTTGTCTGTTAAATGTTGTTAAATAGGAACATTATGACTCAAAAGGTTAAAATCACTTTTTTACTGACTGATTTAAAGTTCACTGGACGTGGTCAATGATTTGCAGACAAATATAAGTAATAAGTATTAATAATAATAATTCAGGTGAAGCAGCAGAGAACAGAGATTGTTTCTTTCTATAATTCATTAACATCATATGTACATTTTATCTCTGAGAAAAGAGGAGTCGTCCACTCAAAGAGTTTCCAAACGTTACCTCATGATGAGAAGAAAAGTGCAGCTTTGATTTAAGAGCTGAAGTTGCATCACAGACTTATTAAGGCTGCATAGATTTACACTCTTTTACAAGACAGTTGATGAGATTCAAGCATCCTCCTTCACACGCCGCCATATAAATATTTACCTGCAGTGCGTCTGATTCCATCTGTCCGGCGCCGGCGCTGCCCTCGTATATTTCCCACTGGGAACGGTGAAGATGTAGCAGAGATCCGGGCTGACCGAGACTCTTATTAAAACAATGAAGCTCATAATTATCCTGGAATTCCAAAGCAGTGCTATAGTGGTAATGAGGCCACACAGGAGCCAGCTTATAAAGAATGAATGTAATAAATAAGCCATTAGATGGGCAGTAAAAAGAGCAGGATGTAAAAAAAGAGACAACAACGCTGAAATGAGTTCAGACAGGTCTTGTTGTCTCTTGATGAGCACTTGGAGAAGTTTCTATTTGCAACCTTTAACGGTGTTTGTTTGCGTCCTGATGGCGTTAAAAAGTCCTGCTGATGATAATTAACGTTTCTTTTCTTGTTGTTAATTGAAGTCAGAGGGAATATTGATCAGATGAGAAAATGTTTTCTCTGATAAACAATTTAAAATATTTATTTCACTGCATCAGAAAGACCCAGCGCTCTCGTCTTCACGTCATTTTATATTAATGCTGGTTATTTATTTGTTGCTTGAACATGTTAAAGGACCAGTGTGTCGGGTTTAGTGCCATCTGGTGGTGAAGCTGCAGACTGCAGCCAACTGAATACAGCTCAGCCTTCTCAGTGTGGAGAAGAAATATATAAAAATATGTATACATAAGTTTGGTTTATGTTAGCTAACAGTTTATAATATCAGCTGGAACTGGTTCAGTTTAATCACTTTACAGCCTGTTAGCTGAACACATTTAGGGGTTAAACAGTCATTTAGTATTTATATCGCTTGTTGACTCACTAAAATTTACTTTGAAAAATCTGAACGAAAAATTGAATAAAATGTAAGAAAAATAATTCTCACCAATGCAACATTAACTTAAAGCTACTGAGCTCGTGGGTTTTTGGATTGTTGCTACAGCTTCTGATTTCACTGCAGCAAGATTGTGATTCATTTATATCCTGATGCTAACAGACTGAGGCTAAAGCTAACAGGTCAAGAGGTCACTGCTGGTTCGATGTCACAAGACTTAATTTTACGTTTGCACTCCTTTAATTTTTACCTGTCAATCATCGGTAGGAGGAGGCATGTTAATCAGTGTGTGTGTGGAACAATGCTGTCACACGTGCGCACACACTGACACACACCTGCTATTATCTAAATGATAATGAGATGTGTTAGCGTCTGCAGGTGACCATGAACGCAACTTTGCACCGTGTGTGTGGTATTAATGCAGGTGACAGCGACCTATGTTCCCATAATGCCAGGCTTTACCGTGTGTGTGTGTCATTTCACAGAGCGACAAACACAACAAAGCCGACTGTTATTAACACACAGCAGACAAACATACACACACACACACACACAGTGTCTCTGCTGGTCGATGACTAAGTTGTCAGTCGTCTTTTCCTCTTTGTTCCAGTCACACCGCTCTGCATCAAGCAAAGGTAAGATATAATGCAAAATAAATACTTCATAAAGCGAATTAATCTCAATAAACAAGGTTACCTGCAATTATTTTCTGCATTGATTTACGTTAAAGTTTCAGCTGAGATTCTTTCTTTACATTGAAAGTCCCTAAAATACAAGTTAAATATTCCTTTATTATTTATTTTAAACGTCACTGTAAAACCGGATGAGTTAATTTAACTTAAATAATTGTTGAAGCTGATTGCATTAAACATTTTAAAGTAAAACTAAATTTTGTAAGTTAAAAACATTATTGATCAAGTAGCTTTAGTAATTTTTAGTGAGAATTAATTCTGTAATTTTTATTTGTACTGTGTAAACAAAATACCAGTAAAATGTTATTAAAGAGAAATGTTTCTGAAACTTGCAAAACTAAGTTTGTGCTTTTTAAAATTATAAGTAAAAGCTGCTTAATCATTAATACTATTTAACCTAAAAAACTGATTTGTGTAAAATGATTGATTATTAATATTGATAATATTGATTGATTAATTTTAACAATAATTAAGATGTTATTTTACAGGTCTGTAATTTCACAGGTTAGAATGATATAGAAAATATTAATTTAATTGAGAGCTGGACTGTAATGTGATTACTTTGGTCAGTAATGAGTGTCAGGATGTCTCCACACTCCATCGTCAGCTCCAGTAGTGTTAGAGTGTCAATAATGAATCTGTTTACACCAATTAAAAACCCAATCACTGGTTCACAGGAAGAGTTGCAAACACATGAATAAATGAGAGTTCCTTTATAAAGTAAAAGAGACTGAATGAAAATTATTACTGATCCATAAAGTTAAACACAACCTGATGAAAAACCCTGTTTGACTTCATGCTTCACTATTAGGACCAACTTGAATTTACACCTGCAAAGTGAGGGCATGGTGGTTTATGGGGACATTTCAGCCAGTCTTCACCAGTATTGAGCTATACTTAGTAACATATTACAGAAATGTGATTACTTTATTGTTCAGCAATGACCTGATCAATATATCTCTTGTCAGATTGGTACTGAGCATGTGCAACTCATAGAGATGTCTCACTTCCATAATCAGCAATAAAAAATGTAAAAAACTTTTGAACATTTTCTGGAAGCAGTCTTGTGAGGTTCTGAGGTTTATCTCGTGTCTTTTTTGGTGATTGTTGCAGCCTAAAATGTCTGTTTTTTGTATAATTCATTAAAAATCATCAAAAGCAGAGTAAAATGGCACTGTTTGGAGGATAAATGGGAGACATTCACATCACACATTTCTTCATCATCACAACTAGAAACAAGGACAAGCAACAACAGGTTTTCAGATAACTCAGCTAATTTTAGCAGAAGTGCCGCCAAAGGTTTGTAAGGTTATTAATACTACCTTAGCTAATTCGGTAAAGTAAGACATTTTTATTGTAAATAATGTAACATTTTTTGCAGTTTTTACCAGAGCTGATAATTGAAGTAAATAACAAGTGAGGCATCTTTATTCCTTCTTATCTGTTGAGACATGCACATGCGCAGTTAGCTAGCTTGCTAACGTTAGCCACAGGTAATGCTATCGGTAGCATTACCTGTTTTGTTCAGAGCTGGAGGTTTTGTGATATGCGAAGCTGACGGGCCTTCTGGAGAGCAGTGTACTGTCACTGGGCTAGCTGTTAGCTGCTATCTAAACTACAATATTTTGTATTGGTTTTCTAATTAAATCAGAAAAGATGCAACATGTTTGTGTGTGTAGAATTAGATTTAGTTTAAGTTTGTAAATCAACGTCCTCACAAGTATAGTACAAATATTTTCATTTGTTTCAGATGATGGACGAAGAATCTACCAAGCGTTACTTGCGGACAAGTGACGATGGACAGAAACAAGCTGAGGTACCAACTCTTTGTCTTTATGTCTCTTAATGAAACCTGTGATCCAGATGTGTAGCCCCATCCACCACCTGATGTATTTTAAATAGCTGGTTAGCTAGCATTGTGCTCACGATAGCTTTCAGGTGGCTGTGGCTTAGAAGGCAAAAAAGCATGATAATGCACAACCGGCTTAGTCTCGTCACCCCTCGATCCACGCTCCTCCATCTGCCACAAAACAAACACAACACATACACTGAGCAAAGACACTCACAACGAACCCCCGAAATTGCTCCTGATGGTGTGTGACTGTGTATACATGCAGTCCTAGTTATCCGCTCGATGCGAAAACAAAACCAACAACTTTGCCATGCACTGAGCCTGAAATGGTTGATCGAGTG